CCACGATATCCTCATCATCCGCCTATAACACCACATTTCGAACGCTTCTAACCTTTTCTTTTCCGCCGCTCCCACTGTCCATGTTTCGCACCCGTACAACGCCGTGCTCCAAACATACACCTTTAACAACCTTTTTCGAATTTCTAAATTAACCGTTCGCGAGCATAGAAGTGACTCCTTTTTATTAAAGGCGACACGACCCTGTGCTATCCTCTGCTTTATATCCCTACTACTCCTTCCATCCTCGCTTATCTGACTTCCTAGATATCTAAAATGAGCCACTTCTTCTAATTTTTCGTCTCCTATCTTTATATTCGCCTTTTCCCTAATCAAATTACCAGTTGAAAAATATTTATATTGGGATTCAATAACTGTCATGAACTTGAATTAAAAACAAATTGTTCAATTGCAATTAAATTCAAATTTGCGATAAGAAATTGTAATGTTAGTTGGTTTTTAACGAAACACGTACACCACTGGTTATTTGCAACGTTTCGAGTGCTGTTGAAAATATATTAAACGGACCGGAGCGCTTTAATGTTGGCGACACAGGATGCGCCCTCTTTTCGCGCCTATTCATGAAATTCTTTTAACGAAAGAGCCTGCAACGCTTACTGAATCGTTCTGTTAGTTACAGCAGGATGCAGAAATACATAAGAGTAGCAGGAAAAGTTCAAAAGAAACACTCCAGGAAAATTCTAGGGGTTCCTTCTTCGCGAGGGTTTGCTACGCTGCAATAGACCCGTAGAAATGTATAAATATACACAAACGATACATGTGCAATGAGGAATCCTGAATCTGTGCAAACCTGATCGCATCTTCATATCATCCAAGTAATATATAAAATACGTTACAGTTTCTTTTATATATAATTAAAGTTGTGCCAATATAATTTACCCATAAATGTAGTAATTACATTTTTTACATTATAAAGCAGAGGATAGCGCAGGGTCGACTCGCCTTAAATAAAAAGAAATAACTTCTGTGTTCGCGAACGGTTAATTTAGAAATTCGAAAGAGGTTGTTACGGTTCGTTTCAAGAAGTTCCCTTCCCTTTGTTAGGATGCGCCGTAGCATAATTCCAAATTCAATCATATTTGTCTGCGAAGCTCATTTCTCCACCGATCATCGGGCGAGAACTAGACAAAAGTGTACAGTACCATTTGCAACATTATATCAAATGCCTCGTTAAAATTTAAGAATATGCTTTATTTAAAAGCATATTTATCCAAANCCAACCTATGGCACCTATTTCTTATTGACTTCCATAAAGTCCTCTGTTTTCCTATTCTTTCTAATACCTCTTCATTTCTAACCTTCTCTATAACACCACATTTCGAACGCTTCTAGCCTTTTGTTTTCCACCACACCCACTGGCCATGTTTCGCACCCGTACAGCGCCCTGCTCTAAACATACACTTTTAAACCATTAACAGCCTTTTTCGAATTTCTAAATTAACTGTTCGCGAGCATAGAAGTGACTTCATTTTATTGAAGACGACTCGACCCTGCGCTATCCTCTGCTTTATATATCTATTGCTTGTTCCGTCCTGACTTACCTGACTTCCTAAATACCTAAAAGTGAGGTATTCAGTTCTTAATATTATTTCAGAAATAAAGTTTACATAGTCAAAAATAATTGGAGCGTAAAAGTATTATAGGTAGGTACTACCTTTGCAAGTAAGTATAGGGAGTGGTGAAGTAGTAGTAAGGTGGAAACTATAGCAAATAAACAATAACCCCATATAAATTCATAAACAATTTAAAAAACAATTTTTTCAGGTATCCTGAAGCAAGTTAGCGTCCATTTGGCTTCACTACCATATATTATTGAACAACTGAAGACACAATTTTACCCCCATTTAAGTACGAAATTCTACATCATTTGCTGTGTTCGTTATTCCAAAAAGGTGAGCATCTCTTATTTTATATAAACTCACAAGGGGCATATTTAAGAATTTTTCCGTTTCTTTTACGTGTACATATTTATATGCCCACTATCTAAGTACTATACGTAGTTGTACAGTAGTGGCAACTTGAGAAATGAATGTCTATTACATGCAATCATTAATTATTAAGGGGGGCATTATTTTTTGAAAAACACAACATAGTTGATATAGAAAAGTTTTACAAATACTTTTAGCTTCTTTTAATATAAACAATAAAATAACTCTAATAAATTCAATTTCATTCAGTTCGTGAAAGCGTTTCTTATATTACAGTCACTTTTATCAGTAACTGAGTTTGTCACAATACAGACTTGAACATTTTACTAACTTTTTTGAGTTTCTGCACGAAAAGATGGTTTCAAAATAATGTTTGCTCCTTCAGCTTACAATGAGGTAAAAACGTTGTAGTATAAAAGATATGTATAGATAATATATCTACTGACCTGTATTACCTCCAATTGCTGCCGTAGAAGTGTTTTAAGGGAGGCGCAAGTTTTTATATTCCTGGTTTATGTGACATGCTATAGGAATTTTTTTTTTGTTTTTAATGTTTATACTTCGCGTATTTCCAGAAATATAAGCGAAAATATGCGCGAAAGACACGTTATTCGTTTTTATTTTCGACACTTCTGAAACTAATGTTTTGAGGAGTATATATATAAAAATGCTAGACCACGGAAATCCTAAAATTTTTAGGACAAAAGTGGGAAAGGCTTTATAATTTTTGAAAAATACTCGATGTTTTGAGTATGTTGCTATATTACAGTTGATTTCTATTCTATGTACCTCTGTTTTATCGTTGATTAAGTTTTTTATATAAACTATTGTCAACGGGGTGTACTAAGTACCACATGAAATAAGACACGTAGTTGTAGTGATTGTAGAAATAACTATATTTAATTTAACTTAAATTTAATCCACTATAAACTAACTTTAAAACTACAACTACCGAATAATTAAAAAAAATGATTATAAAAATCAATCGCAAGAAATTAGGATAATAGAGTTTGTCTTATGGAGACGATGTTTTCTCCAGCGAGTCTATAATAGTACTAATTTAAAATTTTATAAAATCTATGAACTTACTATCTAACAATAATGTACAAACATAATATTAGCCTACCCCCAGGTAGGCGGTCATTGGACCTACAAGAATGCAGCCGAGGGGAATTTTGGCTATTAATACCAATAAAACTGTAATGAACTGTACGTGACGAACATAATAGGACACTTTACAATTTGTTTACAATTCTACCCGACTACCCCGTGTACCTAACATGCCGGCCACCTTGAAAGTCTAATTACTTTCAACTGCATTACTGACACAATAATTATTAGCTTATCGGCAACACGCACAATTTTGTCACTGAGCGTTTAAAAATTGCACCACTCGCGATTTTTACCGATGCCACTCTCGCGATACTGTCCTTGCCCGGATGAAGTTCCACTATCCTTCCTAGCCTCCATGACATTGGGGGAGAGTTGTCGTCGCGGATTAATACAATGGCATTAATTTGGATTGAAGCTCCATTCTTCGCCCA